GCCTTCACACACAAAGGTGATCAAAGGTTTCAGTCAGAACAGAGTTGAGAGTCCTTTTAGGAAACCAAAAGCTGTTAGAAAAGGTAGAATTACTCCTTAATATCCTAGACAGGGCACTGACGTGTTCTGATAGAAACACATTGCACTTCTGAAAAATGGAAATTTATGAAATTCAAGAATGCAAGCATTAAATGAATGCAACATCCCAACCTTTATACAATTTCCAGGCAGCAACGAGTTCAAAGATTGTCTTGTTTCAAGAACTGAAATCATGCTCCTCAGCAGGTCTATAAGGAAGCGAACCTTTCCTGTTTGTCTCAGCATGCAAAGAGACTGAAGTTTTAACTGAAGACTTGGAGCAAACTGCCTTTTTTAGAGGGCATGCCTATATCAAAAGCCTCTAGCTGCAGCATTTCCTTTTCAAACACCTTCAGCATGCCACATGCACGTGTTCAAGGCCTCAAGAAGATAAGAATGATTTTATTGCAATACCACAAATGATAAAACTACATTAGACTAGAAGGAGCAGTGTAAGAAAAAAAAAAAAAAAAGAAAAAAAAAAGAAAAAAAAAAACAAACAAACAAAAAAAAAAACCCACCAGAAAAAGCTACAGTTAGATTGTTACCTGGTCCAAGTATAACAGGTTAGGAAGTTAAAACTGTAGCTCAGGTTTCAGTTCAATGTATTCAATGCTCCCTGTTGGGAGGCTTCTGGACTGTGACTGCAACACAACTGTACATCAGAACAAAACTACCAAGATCACTAATTCATGAAAAATGCCACAGTAACCTCCTAGCAACAGAGCACAACAAGAACACCTCTCTTCCACTTTCCCTTCATCCTGCAAGTTTCCCAGTAAATATCAGGGTGGTTTCCAGAGTCTCACTCTCAGCTTCACAGCACTCTCTAGGTCTGGCTTGAGTTCGTTGAGTTCTCCCTATGAAACAAGCTCTCATGTTTGCTGCTTTCTTTGGGCAAAAGCTGAGCTGTCATCACTAGGTAAAGTTAAGGAAACTGACTGAGGACTAATATTTCTCCTGTCTTGACAGAACACATGCATGTAGGGGAGTATGAACAGGGGTTAGAGAGAGAAAACCAGGAGTGGGCCACCCATAACTTTGTTAATTATGGAGAATAAAAATAATAGAAGACAGACTTCCATGATTTTTTGGGGGGACTTCCACGTTTTAGAGTTGGTAGCTTTCCCATAATTTATTTGCAGCTTAATGAGGAAAGATGGAAACTTACCACAGTTGTCTGTTCTCACACTGAAACTACAATTTTCAAATCTCAGTAGGTGTCATGTTGTATATCCTTATCAAGATTATAATTAAAATAGAATGCATGAATTCTCACACAGCTGTCCAATTCACAAATATGGAAAATAATTTTTGTAATGCTTCTCCATCTTTCCCTAGTACAGTTACAATTTCACAATTTCTCTCCTTTGTAAGTAACTAGGACCAAAAAAAAGAAATATATATCTCAAATTTGCTATGACTTTGTGGCATATGAAAAAAATGGCAGTAACTGATCTGACTAGATCAGAAACCATATCTACATGCAGCTTACAATCTCAAACACAAGTCTATTCTTTGGGGAAATACAAAATCATTTGAGAAAAAAATTACTCCCTGACCAATCAATACTTACATCATGAAACAAAAAAATATCATGTAAATCATATCTCTGAAATACAATGGGATCTCAAACTAGTTTACTAAAATAAGTAAAGATATTTCAGCCTAGAAGGATCTGTGCTGTGTAAAAGGCTCTTTGCTATCTCTAGACCACGAGAAAAAGCTAGAGATGTGGTACAAAAATGAACTATTTTTAATAATCTTTTAGGATTTGTATGTCTTGTCTGCTAAAATATACTTCTGTATGGAATATTTAAAAAAGCATAAGCTGAAGTAATATCAGAACAGATATTTAATATTGTGCTTTATCATAAAAATATGTACATACTCAGGACAAAATATTACCTTATCCTGTCTCATCTTCTAGATTTGACTGTGTCTGTACTAATGATTTTCAAAAGCATTTGTGAAATCAGAGTTTAAAAAAAAACCAACAAAATAATGGTTTCCCAGACAACACAGCAGAGCTAGCAACAGTTCGGCAGAAATGGCACCTTTTTTTTTTATTTTAAGCATTGTTTGCAATTATCTTCATTGCAACCACTTATCAACAGCATTATGGTACAAAATAGACATGCATTTTAGCAAGTTTCATTTCCTTCAGCCTTTTAATTTATTAATAATGTATTTTTTTAAAGTTATACAACCTATTTGTGTAGCAAGTCCATCAGAAGATGAAATTCTGACAAGTGCAGGTTCTGCTTTCAGCCACACAAGGACTACACCTAAACCACCCTGAACAGGAACACAGAATCTGTTTAAGAAGTATTCTTAAAACTACAAATTAATATATTTCATTGTGGTATGTTTTGACAAGAGATCACTAACTGATTTTCAACTCCATTTGTTTAGGACTGTTTGAAAAGGGAACTCCCTACCACCTTAGGCTTTTGTGAGATATGTAAACAAGGTGGCTAGGATCCCTTTTTAGCATAACTGATTTATGATATTCTAACAGAAAATTCCAGTGATTAGTCAGCATAATTAGCTAGGAAAGATCCATACCAAACTGAAGAATTTGGAAAGCTAATATTCACTCCTTGAAGAATACAACTACTGTTACAGAAAACAAAGTCTAATAGGGTCCGATCTTGTTAGATTTCTCACTGTTTCTCTTTCAAATAGAAAATATTTAACTAATAAAAATGTACAAGTCTAATTGCTCGTTTAGACAGTACATAGAAGAGATTAGGTTAGAAACACAAGCAAGCCATATGTATGCTAACTAGGAAAGCTGGGATGGGTTGTGGATAGGATTAGTACTAATACTGATGAAGGTAGGTAAGAGAGTATCGAAAAGGCATCAGATTTTTTCCCATGGAACAGACTGACCTAAGTAAAGGTACTTATTCGCCTTCCTACCCTGGAAGCAGCCTTTGCAAATGATCTTCAGTTACCTCTCATTTGTGCAGTGAATGTGAATAGCACGACCATGCTGCAAAACCAGAAACAACACCCCCCAACATCCATATGGTCTCCTCTGTTCTAGGTCATTTTCTGCAACAAAAACCTTGCTATTTTATCAGATATGGGAACTGCACTTGAAATTAGAGATTTTAAAATGAAAGTTCTGTTCAGGCTCAAACATTCAAGGCAGTAAATGCAGGCCTAAACACAAAACTAAATTAGGAGGCTTTGAAGTCTACAAGACAAATATGAAGAAATCATGACCAATTCACACAATTACAGAGGCTAAACCAGAAAGCAAGTAGACTCACCTTTAATAAGGTTACGTCTCTACTCTAAAATTGTTACTTTGCTTGAAAAACTAGGTTTTCTTTCACCTGATATTTTCTTAACACCTGGTATTTTCAAAGTGATTAGTGGAGGGACTGGGGACAGAAGCAGCTTTGGCTTCTTACATGAAACAGACTGTGAAGACCTTTCCCATTTACCTGTTGCAAGTACTTACCAAATATGCTAAGTGATCAAGGAATACCCATTTTTACAGGCAAGATATAATTTTTCACACAAACAAAATGGATTTAAACATAGTTGACTGAAAATAATGCATTTCTGTATATGCTTTACTATGCTTCAATAGGACCAACTGAACAATTTAGACTAGGGTTGCATCCTTCTACTCTGAGCAGGTCATACATGATCAAAATCACTTATAAAATGGTGGTAACTGAAAAATCTCTGTCTTGCTGTTCACACAGCAGTATCCACTCTGAACACTACTGTTAGAAATGAACAGATTCCTGTTCTCCTTCAACTTGTATGCCCCAACACGCACACACAAGAAATAACCACTACTTTGTCACAGTGAATACTTTTAATCTTATCTCTGCATTAATATGATTTTATTCCTCCTGAAAAATCTCGTGTCATCTTATAAAACTATGAAAGACAATTTCTGAAGCACTCAACATTACGTGTTGCTCTTAGGGCTCAGTAAACATGATACTGTATGTGTTCCTGTGGATGTCATCAATACTTGTGCTGAAAGAAGTCAGATTTTTATGGATTAAAGAACATAGCGAACTGTGACAGTGTTGATGCTCAAAAGTGACATGTGTCATTTGTAAATGAACTTTGCATTTAATAACCTTCTCCTTTAAAACTCCTAAAAACCTGCATCCAGATAAACAATTTCTTAATGGCATTATCTACTATTTCTATTCATGCTGAAAGTTCGTATCCCCATACAAATGTGTATGCAAGTGAACCAGACACAGGTGTCTTGGTAGTAGAAGACTAATTTATTTCAATTTTACGTGCAAAAATGTTGTCCTAATGATCTGGAAATTTTGCAAGCTATCCTGTTTTCACTCAATACAGAACTTCACACATCTAGAAAGAGTTACTGTTCTAAAATGAAATGATGATCTTTCCACCTGCTTTTTTAAAAAAATGTTTGTATTTCTTTCATTATCAAAGCCAGTAATAAAATAATTCAGCCCCCCATGACTCCTCTGTGATGCAATTTGATGAGCATATGCTGAAGAGGTTTTCATGCAGCTGCAGCAGTTTATATCTTATTTCTTACCTCCCCAGATTTTCTGTTGTTTGGGGTTTTTTTGTTTTGTTTTTTGTTTTTTTTTTAATGCTCTAATTTCAAAGGTTTAATTCAATCTCTAATTTCTTTATTTTTTCCATATTAAGAAATCAACATAAAAATACACTTAATAAACAAATAAACAGTTGTGGCTTTTAGGACTTTGGGATTAAGACTGAAAATCCTGAACTTCCGCTTCAGTTAGTGAATGCAAGGTGAACAGTAAAAGAATTAGAAACTTGAGTCTGAGTTCATTATCTGCTTCTTAACTTCAACTTCTCTCTAACAGACTGGGGGTTTTTTGCAATCGGGTTGTCATAGCATTCTGAGAAATATACAAATGAGCTCTTGACAACAGTTTCAAGAAAATATATTTATTCAATTTTAGCAGAGGAAGAAAACATAATAAATATAACAATTTTTTACATCCTTCTTTACATGATATTTTTACATTTAAACCACATTTCTGTTACAAATTTCAACTAGTATTTCAAATTCACTGAAAAATGCAAGAGCTTTTAATGTTGAAAAATAACACATATCAGAGTAAAAGAGTGAAAATTAGTTTTATTTATTGTGGCTAATGCTAAGTGTTCAAGTCGTCAGAACACTGCAATATATGTATTAGACCAGCAATATTGCAAGCTTCCAAATTGAACACGCAACTATTACATGAAGTGAGCAATATAGATTGTAATATTTTATGGTACAACCTCGATTTGTCCCTCAGATAACATCAAAAAAGACTTTTCCAAATTTCTTCAATCATGACAACACGAGCTCTTTCCAAATCCCACACTCAAGTCCTCAGCTGAAGCAAAATCCAGGCTTGAATCTCCTCAAAACAAGACAGGTACCAAGTAAGTTCAAATTCCATTCTGACATGTTTATACTGGTCTTCGGAGTCATACTTTCTTGGCAGAAGCAGCTGCAATTCCACTGGAATTTTTATTTCCATAAACTGGAATTAGAACAGCCATCCTTTCAATTCTGTAGGATATCTGTAGCTGTGTTTTGACAGCCATAAGGTTTTGTTAATCTTCTAAGTACCATCTATTCAAACCAGTTTTCTTTCAGTAAAAAATGTACAGTATCATCAAATCCGTTTTGGTACAATGATTCCATTTTTTCCTGGTTTGGTGGAAACAGAGCTTGATTAAGTCTTACCAGGTTGGCTAGAGACAGCTGCAACAGAGTGAGAAGTTGTAAATTAGTTTATTAAAGCAACTTATCTATACTTTACTATGAGGCTATCTGTTCTGTCATCTGTTTCCTGTGTCATATGTAAAAGCAAAAGACCAGCATGGCTATGTCTACACTAGAAAATTAACCGTGCCCAGGTACACTACTGAGGGCCAAGACAAACTGGCACAAACAGTTTGCAGATGCACCACTAAACTCACAGCCTCCAAAACAGACTGTCTGCCTGTAAAATTGCCCAAAGTTTCTGAAACATTTTAGGTTCAGAAACATTCCTGGAACTGTCTGGCAGAGTGGCAGCTGGCACATGCTACACGTGTGCAAGGAAATATTTTGACAGTTTACTAGTGCAAACAACCATGTTCTTGGGAACATTCCCAGGCAATGTTTAACATATGAGTATAGATGGAGTTTGTATTACCAACAAAGAATTACTTAGCATCTCAATTGGTCACTCTGATGGTGTAAAAATATTTCAGAACTTTGTGCTTGAATGAAGACATTATATTTTTAATTATTAAATTGTTTACAACAAAATTAAAGTTCTGAATGCTTCATTTGTATGATTAATTTAATACTTTAGCCACATATTCTATCACACAAAATTTTGAAAAGCAGTATCAAAGTCATCTTCGTTACCTTGCAAGTAAGCAATTATTTGAATTCTGACATTTATAGATGGAGAAGGTTCAGACACAGAAAACTGCTCACATTCCAATCCAGATAAATGAAGATACACAAAATTCATTTTATGCAGATTACAATGTCATTGAAAAAAAAAAAATATTCTTAGTTTATACTTCTGCAGCTGTAAAAACTGAGGGTGCTTCAAATGGAATAATTTAAAATGTTCCCTGAGATTCTGCACAAGTCTGTGCTTGCAGAAGTCTAGAAGCAACTTAACTCTGCAATTAAGTTTTTATCTCTAATCTAATCACCAGCTCATTTTTCCTCCTTTAGATGCACTAGATATTAGATACAAATCTCAACCAAGAAATATACAGTAAGCAATTGCATGTATTTTCAATACATGTGAAATCAATAATCTTATGCTTTATGGTCAATTACCAAGTACTATCATGCTTAAAATCTCTCTGAGAAACATCATAAAGATTCAGAAATTGGTTCAATTTAGGATGATGTTACTCAAATTAAGAAAACATATCAAGAATTGTGTAAAATATATTTTAAAAAATAGTACCAATTATTCCTGAGCTTTATTTCTTCTTTCTAATGGAGTTTTTTTGACAGCTGGGTCTACTGCTATTCAGTATTTTCTGTCATCATGTCAAAGGAAGCTTGCAAAGATAGAAATGTCAACGATGAAAAGAAAACCATAAAAATCAGTTTTAGTCTATGCTTCAATATACAGAAATGTTTCTGTAACATATAACAAAGTAACTTCTGGAAAAACGTCGTGGTCTTACATGTTCAAAATCTCAACACCAGCTCTCTTGAGCAATGAAGTGACAAGTTAGTTTCCTCTCTCTTGAGGTATTCTGTAGAAGTCTTCCCCCCACAAACACTCTGCCTGGCTAAAGACAGATGATACTTAAAGCAAGCCTAGATTATTTATATTTAATAGCCTGTGAGAATTTGCTAAATTTGTTACTAGATCAATGCTTTTCAACATTTCTGACAAAATTTATCCTACGTTTTCCTTCCCTTGTGTTTAAGAAAAAGTCTACACTCCATTTGCAAAACAGAAAATGCTGAAACATTACTAAAGTTGATGCATAAACAGAGCATAAACACTTAAAAATAAGCATAACCTTAACTACTCAACTACCTCTTCTTCCTCTGAAGTTACTTAATAAAAAAGCAACTCACCATTATATCATGTTTTGCAAATTTAACATAAAGATCCACACGTCCTTTATCTCGTGGACAGATGTCTAATCGACCGCTGAAAGGAGAAATCGTCACAGTTCTTCCAACTGGCAAGATAGGAAGGCCATTGGTAAGGCCACCATCAACCCACTTCTATTGGAAAATAAAAATATTTTCTAAGTAACCTTAGTACAGTATGTTCCTAACTGAATACTTCATCCTTCCTGTCCCTGCCTTCTCCACCCCACCCTCAAGAAAACTTATATGTTTCCTTCTCAGAAAATCATGCATAGGATTGAGCCTGAGGCATAAAAATCAAGGAACTGACAATGTATAGCCAGAGTGTTTAATTAACAAATATTTGACACGATGTATAAATACATGTGCAATATATTTATTAAGCTACTGATATGGCTTGTTAGTTGATCTAATAACAAAATGCCCCAAGCTACTGATATCTGATATGGCTTGTTAGTTGATCTAATAACAAAATGCCCTAAACAAAATCTTACTGAAGTTTATACACATCTACAGCCAAATTAATGATTCTACATTTCCTTTACTGTCAAGGGAGACAAAACACTTTTAGCACGATTCACACCTAAAGTCGGCACTTATATTGGATTTGAGTTGTATTGAAATAGTGCTTTCTTCTTTTCTTCTTCACTAATTATAAACGAAACATTCATTAACTATGTAAGAAGTAGACTACTACAGACACCTAAAGCTAGGGAAGTTGCAATGCTGTAGGAAATAATATTATAAGATTCACCTCAGTGTTTCTTAAGGGTTAGACCTCCCCAAAGACAAACTGAATAATCCAGGATACTAGCTTCAAGTTTCATTAATACAGAACAATACAGAAAATGAAAAACTGAACTAGTACTCTTTAGCACCAATCAGACAGAAGATTGCTTTTCTGCTGTAGGTGATACTATATGTGACTTCTGTGAAATGGCAAAATAACGTAAGTTTTCCCACAGAAGTACTGAAAATGCCACAGAAATTTTCAGTAGTCACAAAATTAAAAAAAAAATCTCACACAAAAAATATATTAATCGGAAGTTGTTTATGATATCTAAATAAAAATTGTCTTCAAACTGTAAGCAAGACACTGGCTTTCAATGTCGCAACTGCCATACAGGAAGCATTATCTCAGGTCACAGTGTTTGGTCTTCAGAAGCCCCTGAGGTTCTCTTATGTCCATCACTTGGTTGTATAGATCCCTCTCAGCTGTGCCCTTTATTCTCACTTAAAGCAAACTTCCTCTTAATTCTATAAGTATTGATTTCTCCCGGGGCCACATCTGAGTTCATGCAATCAAAATACTTTGTTGTCACTTGTCCCTCCTTCCACTGTCAACTCTGCATCTGGTGATACATGGATTTACTCCTTTACACATGGATATAAATGGCAAGCACCATTTGAGGGAAGGGAACTGAGGGGTTTGCTTTGTCCCTCCACCCAGCCCTTTTTTTCATTTTCTCAGATGAAATTTGGCATTTCACATTTCTTCTATTCTCATGAAATATAAGGTACAAATATTCCTATTCAATAGTCTCCATGAAACTTCTCACTCTATTATTTCATAACACGCTTTAGAGATTGACTCAACATTAGCTCCTGATGTCACTACCCATAATCTACCATTGAATTCCTTCACTTTCTACAAAAAAACATATTACTTAATGCTTAGGATTCAAATTTTTTTGACTTAGAAAAAGAGGCAAAAAAAATTAAAAATCCAAAACCATTTAAAATGCTCTGACAAGCTCTAGGCAATCCTGCTTCAGCAGGGGAGTTGAACTAGATGAATTAGAACTCTATGGTCCCTTCCAACTCTAAAAATTCAGTGAAATTCAGTGAAAGGTATTTTTCAGACTTCTCAAACCACTGCAGTGATAACTGTGAGCAAAGCTGCAACATACCATAACATTTCTAACATCAAGACTTTTTGTGTGTGTGTGTCCATATATAGTCATTGATTTATATGCAATGTTCCTTGGAGTACCAAGTGGTAAATGTTGCAAATCCTATGATGACAAGAACAGTGGAGTTCCTCATATCAAGTCAAAGACACTAACAGATGACATTATTAATGTCTTTCAGACACTAACAGATGACATTATTAATGTCTTTCACAAGTCTAGCATAGTGATGTTCCCACTTAAAAGTTCTCTCACTTCTAAAAATTCTGATTATTTAGGTTTCCCCTCCATCTCCTCTTACATAACTTGAATATTTTTTTGAAAATCAAAACATTTACAAAGAAAAGGGCAGCACTTCTTATTAAGCACTATTTTTAGAAGATTCTCTTATTCCTGGATTACATGCCCTCTGTTGTTTTATTTTCTTTCAAGCCTTTAAGAGAAACTGTTTCTCAGTCAAAAATAATTTGGCTCCACAGTCCCTCATGTTACATAGTTAAAATAAAACATTGATATGTTGCAAAGAGATGTGATGCCCCAGATTCTTTTAATTCCATTAACCAATTCTTCAAAAATGCATCTTAGCGGATGAGGCAAATTCCTGGTAACTTCTGAAATAGTTTCTTTTTTGTAAGTATAATGCAAAAACAGAGAAAGTTCTGAAATAATGTGCAACGAAAACCACACCAGACAATGAAACTGAGGATGCAGAACATTTACCACTAAATGTCTTTTACAAAGCTGTTCTCTAAGAACTAGTGACACAAACTACAGCCTCATCATCAGATACAGTCAACCCAATCACCTGCAGATCTTTATCTGTCTTAAAGATTAACCTTGCCAGAGATTCATAGGACACCAAACTAACTCAGAGAAAGGGTAATTTCCATGGAGCAAGTTTACCCTGCTGTTACTGGAAGGCTAGTCCAAATGCACCTTAAATACCCAACCCAGGTAAAAAGTTTCTTGAGGCCTTTATAAATTCTTAGATGTTATTTTACAATCCCTTTTCCTTCAGATTATTTTAAATAAATAATTTATTTATAATTTATATATAATTTATTTTTAATAAATAATTTCTTCAAACCAGAAAAAAACATACTATGAACAGATTGATGTTATGTCTATGTTACCATGAAATTTAGCTTATTCACCCCAAAAGTCTAGCCTCCAATCATGCATACTACAGGTATGCTAGCTAATTCCAGTGGGAAAGCGCAATGCTGGGAGCGGTTTACCCTGGGGTTCACTCTCTATAGACAGTATGGACAGGCTAGCAACAGGTTTGGCTATTTTCTGATACTATTCCAGCAAAACTGCACCATACTCCCTTATGCAACACAACTTTAGATAAGATACTTAAATACATTTCAAAAACACTCCCAGATGACCTGGTGATATATATGCAGGTGATGTATATAAGCCCAGAGAAGATCCAGACCAACTGTCCTGAAGCACACTGGTAAGGCCAGTAGACTTGAGCAGGTCTAGCAGGGAGTAAGCTCTATTTCATACTGCCACAGGCCATATGGTCTAAGGAGTTCACTCCCTGAAGCCAGTGTAAATGTGCACAGACAGAACTCTGGTCTGTTACAGTAAAGTTTCCATGAAACCTGGAATAGGATGCTAATATGATAGGTGACCTCACAGAGGCAAATCTTTATCCATTCTCTCTTACTGTCTTCAGTGCTTACTGTGCCTGAATCATGAGGTTACATGTCATGTATCCAGCTCTACACTGCATGCTTTAGGGCCCCAGTTGGCCTCCCACATATCCTCATTACCTCTTAATTCAAGCCATGGAAATACTATTGCTATAGAGATCCTATGGTTTTTGCTCTCACCAGTATTCTGGACTACAGAATGGAAGTCACATTCATTTACAAGCAATAGTTTTCTTAAAATAATAAAAAAAAAAGGAATCAATTTCCCCATACCACAAATGCACTGTTTTACGGAGTATGAGAAAAGTCAGTGCAGACTTGCAGAACGAATCATTCCAACAAATAATAATAAATGAAAGCAACCTTCTCAGAAACTGTGTTTTCTGAATCTCACTTAAGAAGAGTAGTGAGAAGCTTTGGGAATGACAACAAGGTTTCAAGTAACAGAAGAACCAGTTTCCATGAAGCATTCCTTGATTTCATTTCTGAATGCAAAAAATAAAGTTGGGCAGGAACAAGAACTGTCCACTAAAAAGAGGCTGAAGGTGTTTCAGTGAATACTACAGGCAAACCATAATAGCTGTGTTCATCCAGTAAAGCGGGTTTTAAATAAGTTTAGGACAAAACTTTGAGCCAACTTTTCAATTTCTCAGTTGAAAGAACCCCACAAGAAATTTAACAATGACACTTCTTTCCCTTTAACTATTGCCAGAATTAACCTAAAACATGCATGTATGCCCCTTGAACTGTGTAAGCAACATATAAATACTCAACAAAATTTCCAGACCCTGGAAGCTCCAAGCAGTCTCTACTAAATTCAAGCAGCCAGGCAATACTGATTTAAAACCTTCAAATGTTTTAGCTGATATGTATTGCTATATGCATAATTGTAAAGCTGAGAAGCTTTCTGACAAACTCCAGCTCCCTCTTGCTAAAGGCAAATGCATATTGTTTTGAGTGGGTTTTTCTGGCAGGGTGGCTGTGAGGTTTATAGATTTCTAAAGGCATCATTTGGATGTGTATGAGGAAATAAAGGAAAGAGTATTATGTAGAAGTACTCAGAAAGAAGTACTTATTTTCATGCTTCTAGTAATTACAGAGTAAACAGTCAAAAATACTCTTAATATATTTATATAAGAAGGACAAAACCATTCTTGAAGGTAAACCAAGCACAGGTAGTTGTGAAAAGGTTTTCCTTCTAGCAATGTACACCTCTCTAAACTTCGTAGTAGTACTACAGGGGAAAAAAAATGTTTATTCTTTAATGCTTGTCCAGAGGTTAGAGATTTTAAGGTACCTAGTAAGCATGTAATTCTGTACAGAACATGAGAACAGCACATACATAAACACACAAATGTACTCCAGCAGTGTTCGATCTGCCAAGGTCTCCTTTATTGCTTCCATAAAATAGAAAAGCAGAAGAGTGGTCCTTTAAATTGCATAAAATGTTTTAGAGCTGGTAACACAGCTTATCATGAGAAGTATCTTTACTATGAGAACTTTCTTCTCATGGTCCGTGTCAGACATTATCTTTACAAAACAGCTTCATGCTACAGAGGTCATTTCAGTCTCAGCATCCACAATTTTTGAAACAACACATGAATGAGCTCATGTCATCTTTCACAGTGTTGATCTACAGTATCAACATAAACAGTAATTATTCTACAAAATATAGTACTTCAGTTGCCTTCCCTTAAGATCAAATAATTACATCATAAATGAAGAATGCTTTTACACACACATAAAAAAGTTGGAAGTTAAAATTAATAAAAAATTACCTCTCCTTTATATTCCACTGGCTTAATTCCTGCATATACTGGTACAAAACTGCTTGCTAGCAGGACCTATAGAAAAGAAAGCAGAAAGAATAGAGAATAAAATTGAAGAGTGACAAAGTAATTCTGAACCAATATATATTTTCATAAATATTTATCTATATTAAATAAAATAGCAGTAATCAATCAATACATTAGTTTTACATAATTGTTGTCTTGAAATGTCCTCTAGTTGCAGTATGTCAAAATGTGAATAAAACTATTCAATAGGATTTGGGTTTTTTATTACTTGACAGTGCCAACTCTCAAAACAAAATAACACAAATTAACTCACTGATTAATGGGATTCCACCTCTGCGGCCCCCAACATAAGAAGGAAATGGACCTGTTGGACCACATCCAGAGGAGGGCCACCAACATTATGAGAGAGCTGGAGCATCTCTCCTATGAGAGAGCTGGGATTGGTCAGCCTGGAGAAGAGAAGGCTCCAGGAAGATCTTATAGCAGCCTTTCATTATCCAAAAGAGGCCTACAGAAAAGGTGGAGAAAGACTATCATGCAGTGGAGCAGTAAGACAAGGGGTAATGGTTTTAAACTGAAAGAGGGGAGATTTAGATTAGATTTTAAGAAATTCTTCACTCTAAGGGTGGTGAGACACTGGAACAGGTTGCCCAGAGAAGTAGAAGATATACCCTCCCTGGAGGTGTTCAAGGCCAGGCTGGACGGGGCTTTGATCAGCCTGGTATAATGGGAGGTGTCCCTGCCCACGGTCAGGGGGCACTAGGTGGTCTTTAAGGTCCTTTCCATTCTATGATTCAAAAATATATGAACTTAGTTTTACACAGTGTGAAGTAAATTTATGATTTTGCAGAAATTAAATATGTATATGCTGGAAAAAAATGCAATCTGGAGTATTGTCAAAGATGCAGCTGACACAATCATTCTGCTGGAATATTTATATAGTGTTTAGTCTTCTAATTAATCAGATTTTTTTAAGAATTCAAAATACCCAAAATACTATGAACAATATGAAAATTGAAATATGTATATCTTTATCAGTATGGATATTTTGCATTTAATACATTTGCCTATTAACAAATAACTATTTGCCCTATTGTAAGCCACATTGCTGTCTACAGCAGTTCTAATATTTTTTTTTATAATCTTTTTTTTTAGACCTATATATGACCATTTGGTCATATATAGACGTGCACACACACCTACATTTCTATCTGCTCATAGCAATATCTATGAGAACGTGTATGTATCTCTATACCTACATATCCACCTATAGCATATAACTAGTGTACAGCATTTCAAAAAGTAGGGGTAGAGTTGTAGATAAAAGGCAGCATGTCAGAAATTTTCACATAGCTAAATGTGGTGAATATGCATGTGCTTGCAGACTGTCATGAGACAAATCTGGGGAACAGAAGCAGGTTGCAGACCAGAATATCTACTATGTGAAAGGTGACCAAATGTAAAAAAAACCACCCTATAATCCATGGAGATTATAGAAGCAAACGTTTTGGGGGTTTTTTGGTAGACCTGTATTTATTTTTAAAACAAATTAAGCTACTGTCTGTATTAATCACCCCTCCTCCCCTAACAAGTTTTAGTTAAGGCTCTATATGAAGGCTTTAAATTTCACTTCAAGAATTTCACTCTTTTCTTGCCTATTTCTCTTCCCAGTGATTTAAAGGGAAGGAAAAGGGTCAAAACCAGGTGGCCCTTACAAAGTGTGAATCCTTTTCAAGACAACCACAGAAAGCAGTTGGCCCTTCTTATGAAGTCACTTAGACCTCAAAAGTGAGGCAAGGAAGGATAAGTTTAAAGAACTGTCAGTATTTCCCTAATACTTAACAGACCAGTATGGACTCCTATTTCAGTGCTCCCAGTTTTCCAAACTAAATAGAATCATAGAATGGTTTAGGTTGTAAGGGACTTTAAAGTTCATCTAAATAAAATAGTGTTCTGTGTTCTGCTCCCTCACAAACAAACAAAACATACCTTTCTTCCCCCTCACCTCCAGTTTAAGAATTTAAAGTTCATCTAAATAAAACAGTGTTCTGTGCTCTGCTCCCTCGCAAACAAACAAATCATGCCTTTCTTCCCCCTCACCTCCAGTTTAAGAACTGCCAAGTCTAGGAATGCTGGTACATGATGATTGTCTTCACATATGTAAAGACTATTTCAGAAGCAGGAGATTATTAACTGCTTTTCCATGTCCACTGGGAATAGTAAAAGAAAGTTAGAACTTAGAATTATAGCAATGCATATTCAGTTTAATCATGATGAAAAACTTTGGAACCATAAGGCTGGTTAAGCATTGAAACCAACTGCATATGGAAGTTGAAAGATTTCTGGCAGAGAGTTCAGAAGTTTTGCTGCTATAAAATACTGCCTGCCCAGCAGTAACTTTATCCAGGCCTTGGATATAGTAAATCACGTCTAGGAGAAGCACAAGACCCTTATATCACCTAAGAAGCTTTACCTTCCATGCTACTGGGGCAGCCACCAACATTCAGACTGCTGTATAAATGATACATGCATAACTGAAGGCATGCACAAAAGCATGTATTATGAGATGCACTGAAAGAACAGACAATATGAACATACTCTGATGTGCAATTATTTTGAATTTTATTACTGTTATTCCAACCTATTCCACAGCTAGCATATGGAACAAAAGAATAGAACAGAAATGGTTAAGTCAATTAAAGAACTATCGAAATACTAATAAAATATATGTATTTCCAAGGTTTTGTTGAAGCTACTAAAGGTCTTGTGTTAGAAGATGTCACTGGAAAAGCCATAAACCTACAGAATAATAATCTCCATGCCTGGTTAGAGGATGTCACTGGAAAAACCATAAACCTACAGAATAATAATCTCCATGCTTGTCTCTGGAGGTTCATAGAATCATAGAATGTGTTGGGTTGGAAGGGATGTTTAAAGGTCATCTAGTCCAACAACCCTGCAGTAAGCAGGGACATCTTTAACTAGATCAGATTCCTCAGAATCTCATCCAGCCTGACCTTGAATGTCTCCAGGAATGGGGGGTCCACAACCTCTTTGGGCAATCTGTTCCAGTATCTCACAACTCTCATTGTAAAGATTTCTTCCCAATGTCCAATCTATACCTACCCCACTCTAGTTTAAAACCATTGCCCCTTGTCCTATCATTACATGCCCTTGCAAACAGCCCCTCCCCAGCTTTCTTGTTGGCCCCCTTCAGGTACTGGAAAGCCGCTATAAGGTCTTCCCGGCCTTCTCTTCTCCAGGCTGAACAACCCAAACAGCCCATCTTCATAGGAGAGGTGCTCCAGCCCTCTGATCATCCTTGTGGTCCTCCTCTGGACCTGCTCCAAGAGCCCTTCTTGTGCTGAGGGCTCCAGAGCTGGACACTGTACTCCTGGTGGGGTCTCACGACAGCAGAGGGAGAGAATCACCTCTCTCGATCTGCTACCCACACTTCCTTTCATGCAACCCAGGATGCAATTGGCCTTCTTGTTGGCCCCCTTTAGGTACTGGAAAGCCGCTATAAGGTCTTCCCGGCCTTCTCTTCTCCAGGCTGAACAACCCAAACAGCCCATCTTCATAGGAGAGGTGCTCCAGCCCTCTGATCATCCTTGTGGTCCTCCTCTGGACCTGCTCCAAGAGCCCTTCTTGTGCTGAGGGCTCCAGAGCTGGACACTGTACTCCTGGTGGGGTCTCACGACAGCAGAGGGAGAGAATCACCTCTCTCGATCTGCTACCCACACTTCCTTTCATGCAACCCAGGATGCAATTGGCCTTCTAGGCTGTGAGTGTGCATTGTTGGCTTGTGTCCAGCTTGGTTATGGTCAGCATAGCTAGAAATAACATTGCATAATCTGAGATAATAATGCAAAAAGTTTAAGTCCTACAAATTTTGAGAACTGATTGACCATGTAGAATATAATGGTTCAAGATTTTTAAAAATGACACTTTAAAGGTAATCTTCCAACGCATATTTTGAGATTTTGTTAACAAGTGGATTTTTTTTTTCTTTAAGTGTTAATTAAAAGGAGTCTCTTAGTCTAACCATCCACAAAGACAGGGAAAGAAGAAAATCCTTCTTATTCTATTTCCTCCTCTATTTTGCTGTATCTTATGATGTCCTCCACTAAGATATATTCAATTACTAGAAAGAACATTTGCTTTCCATGCATCTGAATTCATCCTACTACTTCACAGCAGATTATGTGTACAATCCTAATCCAAATTTAAAAAGTGGCATTCAAAAGAAAATAGGTGGGCAGTAAAAGATAAGCTTTCCAAAGACAGTTAAAATACAGTTTATATCTGGTACTTAAAATTACATTATATCTTTTCCCCACAAGGATTTAAAAAATAATCCAGCACTTTTTACAAGACAGGAACTTTCTTTTCTTACTTTCTCTTGTCATGAAACATAATATAAATGGTATCAATTACAGAAGAGATGCAGAAAGACTCTGCAAATTGTTACAAAATTTGGAGATGTTCTATTTTATTCCCATATACTGTAACCATTGATTACCCTGTTACTTTTTAAACATACTTTGCTGACAAGGTAGTACTTTAAAAAAAGATTAAAGAAGCACACACAAAAATAAATTTTAGCAAAACTTGTGAAACTGTAGGATCAAATTATATTATTTATGTCATGGTTGTAGCACCACTTATCAGTATAACTAATTACTTGAGTAAAACCGTGATTTATTGTACAGCTAATAATATATTCCTAAACCTTGAAGAAACTCAAGTATTTTTATTTAAAACAGCAATATTCAACTTTATTACCTTAATGAGGTCCTCCCTGGAGGCAAAACTTGAAACCAAGCGATTTTCCCCATTTTTGGTGTTAGTGACTGACACATAGAGCCGGTTCTCAGCTATCTCATGAGCATTAGAAGGAAGTATAGACTCTATGCCTTCCCTAGAGCAAAGAAAATACTAAACATTATTCACCATCATTATTTAAAAACCTTGCAAATAAGTTAGTGGTGAAATAGTGCTGAGCTCCCCACAGCACAGAAAAAAATATGCACATTCTCCATTCTCACTTAGAGCGCTTCACACAAAAGTGACCTTATATATGCATTAAGATAGATACCTAAGTGTTTTCATAAAATCATAACCAGGCGTTACAGCACCGAAGTCCAATTTTCTAACTTCCTCTGCAAATCCATAGGCAAACTGCTTAGACTTCTGCAAATTAAAATATTCCCCATTAAGCATGTTTCAGCTATGGCAAGTATGTTTAACTGTGGTATCTAAAACTTACTTGCAGCTAAAGCTTTAACCAAGACAGAGCTATAGGATCAGACTAAACTAATTTCCCATTATGTACTGGGTTTCTAACAAGATATGCATAATAAAATGCTGATCTTTTTATAAGAAATATTTTTTAAGAAAACAATATCCATAATTAAAAAAGATAATATATTAATAATAATAAATTCTCACAAGAAAACCATGTTAACAATCAAGGAAAGCTAAATGCTATTTTTCTATGTATAACCACTGCTAAATAATCAGTTCTCTGAACCATGTCATTACAAGAACAATAATTTATATTTAAAGTGTAAAGCCACCTTTTATTTTAAAGACCACTTTGATACTATAACCAGACATAAGTACCTTAAGATATCTATAAGCATTAAAAACCCCTACAATTATTACAATTTCTTTTTACTAATGCAAAAATCACACTACTAACAAATACATATATTTAATGAATAAAATACTATGGAAATATTTCCTGAATGGAATGCTATGGTGGAAGACAAAGAAAGACAACTGGAGAACACCAGGCAACAGATTCCACTGTACAGAGAACCTCTTTTGTGCAAGATGAAATGTGTAGGGTTAACAACTCCAGAAAAATACCTTGAAATGTGACCCTTAAGAACTCCAAGAGTAGAGTAAAGCAATAGGTAATATATATTTTTTAGCAAAAAGATTCTGAAACAATGAATGATGATTCTAAATGCTTCAAATGCAGTATTCAGTATTCGTATACCTTTTTTTATCCTTTCATGCAGACTTCTCTGATGATTTTAGGGACTTGGGCAAAAAATAAATTCAATCTTATGCAACTTTCTGAAATTGGTACTCAAAAATACATTATATCCATATTCACTTAGTCACCACATTTACTGAATAAAAGATCTGTCTATAGGTACTTTGGGGTTCCTGGCTTATTAGCTTCCTGCATGAAGAATAAATACGTGGTTAGTAACAAAACATATGACTGATGTGATATGTGATACCTCTCATTTTTCCATTTAAGCAATATAACATAATGACTAAAAAGTAAAAAATAAAAATAATAAAAATTAAAAGGACTAAAAAGTTCATGGAACATCCTTCAGTTTGTATTAAAATTAGGTATTCTCAGGGAAAAAACTATAAGACTCAATGTAATACAGGCTTAGTTTCTACAAACATAAGAAATAAAAACTCTTGTAATATTTTTACTAAGAAAGATTTCATTAAGTTGGACCAGGCTGGGAAACAAATGTTCATACCCAGAACCTAGTATAAGCAGCAAAATTTCATTGGGCTAAGAAAAGGCTACCCGCTGTGCTCAACCTAGAGGAAATTAAAGTTAGGGGTATGCATTATACCAGGCAACATGAAAACTGAACTATTATTCAGAGACTACAGAAAAGGAGAAACTCCTGAACAGAATACAAGTAAGGTTCTCTTCACAACGCAGTGGAACTTTCTAATACCAAATCGTTAAAGAATGCACCTGGGGGTGGTAGTTGGAAAGAGGCCAGGGAAGAACTTACTGCTGAAAGCAACAGAAGTATAGCTGACTGAAAGCTAAGTTCACATGACAGCAGAAACAAACAAACAGAAAGATCAGTGGCAAAGTGTGGCATTGGCTTGGACTAGCATTTGGATCAAACTCAATGAAAGTTCTAACAAGTGACAGAGAAAGTTACCTGATGCTCATTGGACTGAAACCCGAGTGTAATTAGAAGAAAAATCTAGCAGCCTTTCCTCCCCACAATAATGCTGTTTATTATAATTGAAAATATTACAGAAATATGAACATTTTGGCAAGGCCTAGTCCTCTACATATATTAAGGCAAAGTGACTACAGGCATTTCAGGAAGGTAAAGCAGCCTTAACTTAAGGGGAAAAACAAAGAAAAAAATCCAGTGATTTCCCACAAAACCTGCAACAAAGTAGTCATTGAATATCACTTTGCTGTGCCTACATGACACTGTATCAATGGTGAGAAAAGGATAGCATCTCTGGATTAAAAAAAACCCAAATACACAGGTATGCAGCATGTCAGAACAGAATGCTGTGAGGGCTGATCCTCGCTTGCACACAGTGGGGCTACTGCTGTTAAATCATGAACTGTACTGAGTCTAAATAAGGTGCACAAGCCACTTCTAGCACTGTCTAATGGAGCACAGACAGCACGGAAAAAAAAAAAAAAATCTGGTGTGTTGTGTTCTTTGACTTCATGAAGATACAGTCCATTTACCATTTTCATCTCCTCTCACAAAAGGACAAAAGGATGGTGCTATGCATTTGCTTAACAATGCCTACCTCTAGCCAAGAAAACAATTATTAACTTTGTAATGTACAGTGATTTGTACATATACAGTACCCTAACGTATATCTGGTTGCATACAACTCAACATTCATACACATGAAATTTATAATTACATAGCTTAAAATATAAAGTACATATGACAGAATTTTATGATCAAGAAATACTTGCTTCATAAACATTTCTGCCCATGAGTCACAGATTTTGTTAATGAAAACACATACATGAGATCTGTTTCTTTACAAGAGGCAAAAGAAAACCAAACCCCAAAATATTTAAGAAAACTTAATGGTAGATGGTTATCCCAAAAATATCCTTTGAAAATTATCGCAAAAATTATCATGTCCTATACCTACGAGTTTATTAATTTACCTCTATATTTTCTGGTACTGCTAATAGGACAGTGGCAGCCAGTGATCCCGCTGAAGCTCCCGCAAAAGCTTTCACAACTTTCAGTAGCTTCTTACCATGCCTGTAAAAAGCAGCTGCTGCCCCCAAGTGGTAAATACCCAGAAACCCACACGCTGCAAATGACAGGTTGATACGTTTCATTTTTGCTGTGGAAATAAAGTTTCACAGTCAGAAAAAGGAGCAGTTAATTTTATCTTATAATATACATCTATTCTTTTGGCACAGAATGCATAATGTACTACATATATATAACAAAAAACAGTTTATTTAAGAAGAGTAAAAACCTTTTGATTAACAAATACACCAAACGAGTAGCAATTAGTTTAGCATCTCCAAAATTGAAAACAACTCTAAAATCCTCCTCAGCACAAATCCCTTTTTCAATCAGGAAATATATATGTCTATCTATATACAACGTAACTGCACATTTTGACATAATTTGTCAAAGAAATACAAAAGAAAAGTAGGTACTCAAAAGTCATAAAAGAATGCTGTTGGAGAGCAAATATAGTTAACCACCTAGAGTAAAAATTTAATTAATTATAAAACTGCTGGGTACTGTGTCAGCATACTCCCTTCATGCACACAGGCTTGAACACAATTCTCTAAGCAAACAATTTTTTCCTTCACCTTTGGAAGTTATTTGCTCACAAGTATTATTAGTAAACATTAATAGAAAAAAAATTTATTTAAAGCAATTTCTCATTTAGAAGAGAAAAAACACGCAACATATTGTTGCTACTGTTAAAAGAAGAAAGAATGAAAAACATCAAAGTACAAATACAAATACAAAGCACTAAGTGTATGGAAACACAGACACACACTGTGAAGGCACCAAGGTTAGAACCTAAATCTAACACACAAACAGGAAGCATAATTTCAGATCCTTACGGGTGGCTTATTTAAAAAAAAAAAAAAAAAAAAGTACATTTTAACATTTTATTATCTCTTCTGCTTCTGTAAATGCCAACAATTATGAGAGCAAGCTAATCCGCAGATTTTATTGTAAAGATACACAAGCTATTGTACAGATTCTCTTAGTATTTAATTAAAAATAAATTCCTAGTATATTTGGGTACATGTCGATATGAATCGGACTAAAAAAGTAAATCACTATACTCAGGATTATACATCTTCAAGGCCAGGCTGGATGGGGCTTTGAGCAACCTGGTTTAGTGGGAGGTGTCACTGCCCATGGCAGGGGGGTTGGAACTCTGTGATCTTTAAATTCCCTTCCAACTCTAACCATTCTATGATTCTATGATTCATTTTTCTAGTCCCTAACGAGACAGTGGATCAGTGGATGTTTCTTTTGGAAATCATCCACAGACACTGTGGATTCAGTTTAGATGGTCACAAATTTAAAAAAAAAAAAAAAAAAAAAGAAAAATTAAAAATAATATCTAAAGCATAGTTACAGAAAAAAAATCAGATTAAAGGATTATTTTTTTTTAAAGAAGAAAATAATCCTTGCAAATGTAGAAGACATCACACTTCAATGTATGTTTGGCTGGTACATGTTCTTTAAAGTAAGAAGAGATTATGTGAACTGAGGAGGTTATTTGAATCTCAGAACAAAACCTAACAGAAATATACTGACTGAAGTAAAATGTCCATGCATTCTCTTACAAGACTTCACGAGGAAGTTTTATTTTCTTCCATGAACTTCAGTCCTGTCTAATTATCAGCTACTGTAAGCAACCACTGGTTTTTTGAGTGTCTAGTTATATGGTATTCGCTCTTTGATGAGAGTTAATTTTTTCACACTTAGATCCCGTATTTGTCTTACTCTCCTTCATTCCCCTACCCAACAGACAGAGACTACTGAATGAGTATTCACATCAGTTTCTTGACTGACAAAAGCATTCAGTGAGACACAAACGTGCAAAAAGAGAGAAACACTAAGATTTCAAGTTAAGGAATACTGTTAAAGAATGCTGCTAGTCTCACACTCTGTTGAGAGCAGAATAATTTCAAGTTCAAAAAGATGAAAGAAATGCAATTGAAAATGCAGGTAAACGTAATTTTTTTTTTTTTTTTTTTTTAAACAGAAGTACTTGCTCATCTGGGCTTGTGTGTCATGTAATACAGCAGTGTTTTACAGATACCCCAAGAGAACTTCAAATCAAAGGTAGCAACAGCATTGCTGTATTATCACATCACTACATTTTTATTAATTAAGGTCAATTCCCAGGTCTACATCACGTATTTATCACAGTACCAATGTTAAGGTTCAAGGGACAAATCCAGTGGCTACATCTAGCTGCACGACTGAGAAATGGGTTTTGAGCATACATGTAACAACCCTACAAGTGGGTGAATAATGAGAGAAAAAAAATAATCATTGAATCATACAATAATTCAGAAGGTCTCTTGCCCAACCACCTTCTATTCAAAACAAGATCAGCTATCAGATCAAACTGGGTTGCTCAGGGCTTTATCCAGTTAATTGTTAATTGAAAAATCACTTAATGTCTGGCTCCTAAGTGACAGCTAGTACGTGTTGCTGGGTGAAACAATTAGGTCTTCTTTCATTTGTTCAGAATATTAAAATCAGTAGATTATTACAAATAATCAACATTATAGAGAAGTGTGGGAAAGTAACGGAAGATTGGCGAGGAGGACTGTAAATACACTCAAGTGGCTCACATGTGGGGTGCTGGAAAACACATATATCACACTAATTGTTGCTTAGTTTTGTGTGCTCAACAAGTAGAACATCTGCACTTAGATAACATAGGCCTGGGATGGACTCGGGGGCACCTCGTCAAACTCGCCTGAGATTCCTGCCCTGCTGTTAAAGAGATCAAAGCCCAGCAGAAAACTCTGCCTGCCTGAATCCTTGAATTACAGGCCCAAACAGCAAGCGGGAGCTCTCTCGCTCTCTCACTCCCTTGCTAATGAGGACTCCCTTGCTAATAAGGACTCTCTCTCTGCGGTGCCTGTGTCCCTCTGCTTGCCTGCCTCTGCCTGGGTGCTGCTTCAGAGGTTCCCCGATCCATGAGGTATCGAGATTAAATTTGTTCTTTGCCCTTAATCCATGGGGTGTTTTTTTGTGGTTGTTCCTGTGTCCTGCCTGCATTGGCTTACACAGGAAGAAACAACAGATCATTAATATCTTCATTCAGCGCTATGCATCTACCTGTGAGGAGGTTCTGTACATTGAATTGAAGGCCTCTTACAACAAGTTTATAACAAAGCACTTAACCTACAAAGATGACACAGATGAATAAGAATCATGATTCTACAAGGAACTATCTGCTTGATACGTGCAGTTAAGCAATGTCATTTCACCTTCCAAAGGAATCTCGGAGTGAAAAATAAGGAAGCATTCATTAGATGAATGTCCTGTAAAATCAGAAAAGCAAGAAATAGGAAAGCAAGATACTCACTTTTATAAGACCATAAACTTTCCCTTTCTTTTGATTCTTGCAAATATATCATGGCAACACTTGATTTGCAAGTTAGAATGGTGTATTTCAGAGACAGTATGATTCAGAAATGTTTTTCGCTTTGATGATCTGGTAGATCACTGCTCTTTTGATTAAAAAAAATAGTAGAGTTATAACAACTCCCAAGAAGACATATCAAGAAACTTAATTAAGTCTACAGTATGAATATTCCCTGTCAATTTCTTGGAGCACCAGAAAAAGGAGCACCATCACATCTGGACATAGACCATTTTTTCAGCTGCCTGAGCAAACAGCAGAAATCTTGCTATCTTAGAAATCGTACGAAATACCTGTTCCACAAGACTTCAGACCAAATACTCTTAAAGGGTTTAAGCTAAATTCTGACTATTAAATATATTATTTATTAACACAAAGTCATATTGGCATGTGTTAAGAAAAAAACTCAATGAACCTTAAAAGATGGACAAATACATTTCAGAGATATGACATAAATAGGACATAACAAAAGTTTTTGCCGCTGCTATTCAAAAATCATCTTACATAATTGGAAAATTTCAAGATTTTAACTGGCCAAAGTAATAGGCATGCTTCTGTTGTCTACAAGAAAAAACAGAAGCATATGAAAAGATAAGTATAAGAATAAACTAGAAGGACACTAGGGCTGACCTATCTCATTGCTTTACAGATAGTGCAGGAGCATTCAGGAATAAACATAACCCTAAGAGTTCTATTTAAAAGATTCTTGCATCTATGAAAAAAAAAAAAATCACTGGTGATGAAAAATATGTTGGAAGAGCTTGGAGAGTACATTTCTGTTTACTCGGCGGTATCTCATCTGTTTGTAATGCAAACCTACAATAGAATATATGTAAGGAGACAAGCTTGTGCAGCAGAATTATGATATAGTACAATATAGCTTTTTCAGAAGTACCATCTTCCTAGTTGCCATGCACAAGAAATAGCACAACAGTTTCTCATGCTGCCGCTTCCTGCGCAATATAATTATATAAACAGTATACGACCTCAGTGCCTTAACCAGTCATAACTACCTCCGTGTCATGCAATTTGTAAACAAAAGCTGAAAATGCCCAAAGCAACTGACTAGAAAACCTTTACAAACAGAAATTAAATATACATATAATGCGAATGACCAAGCACCCTGAAGCACAAGAGCTAAAATGTATGATGCATAAGAGCACATTTGAGGATTAGTTATTAGCTAGGAATGACAAAACAAGTAATGTTATGGAAAGAACTGTTCAGCTAGGCAGCATTGCTAAAATAAAGGTCATAATTGAAACTACTAATTTACCTGAATCGGAAATCACCACTCATACAGGAATGTTTAATTGTTTTTTCATGTTTATAACAGGAAAAAAAAGTTGACTAGCATCACAGACTATCAAAAATAGGCTCACACAGAACAATAACCCATCCAATGTACTGTACTCACTTAAGAGACACCACAGTTGCTTGCAAGAGAATGGGATAACCAAGTTTTGCATCTTTATAGTCAAACAGAATAAGCATTGTAAGACTTTGATGAAGTTGAAGAAAAAAATATTAAATAATAATACTACAAAATTATCAGTACACAATCCAATCAGTCATTAAGACAATTAGGAAAATTAAATGAGTCTTTGCAAATTATAAAAATTGTGCATAATCCCCTTTTAAATTAAAAAAAGAACACATCACAGGATACAAAACTTTCAAATTAAGAGTTTAGACCATGTTGATCATTAACATAAGATGTCTAGAGAGGACAGGGAATGCTGACTTCATAACAGGGTGGAAAAAGGTCCAATACCTTCTAATGAATCTTGGTTTCCATCATATACTCCACTGGGACTTTTTTCAGCAGCTATTTTAGTTCCTTCTGTGCTAGTAGCCACTCTTGCATCTACTACTGATCGTTTATCATTTACCTTGGAAACCTACAATTGTACAGTCAAATATTACTATTTAAAAGAGAAACAATGGACAAATATAAGATGAACATTATTTATATTTCTACGGATTAATAAAGCCAATTATAACAGTTGTAAAACCCATAATAGGTTTTATGAAAATTCAAATAGTTGTAAAACCATCAAGATTAATTTCTCAATTGCTTAGCCCCCTCAAACTAGCTGAAACCACAATGTTCTAGTATTTATAAAGTGCATGCAGCAATTCATATTTTAAAGATTGACTTAATTAGACATCTAGAAAAACATTGTCATTTGGAACTGACAGTGTCCAAAATTAGCCTTAATTTTGTGTTCTTTCCCACTGTATTTGTTTCTATCCACAGATTATTTTTTTTCAATACGTCAAACTCTTATTTTTTTATCCTCCCTTGCCAATACAATAAAAAATGGACTTCCTCCTCTCCCCCCCCTCCCCCTTTTTTTTGTGTAATATTGCATTAGTAAAAAGTTTTCCAGAGAATTCTGGTCCTATTCGTCACCAAACTGCTGTCACTCTAATACACCTGTCAGATATCATGCAGTATTGCCTGAAGTACAATTTCAAAAAAATTAATGTTTTTCCCCAAGTCAGAAGTATCAGACACAAAAAGTCAATTCTGAAACACTGGTTCTCCTGCAGCTTCTTGCTGCCTCCTTCATCCTGATAGGAATCTTCAATTCATAAAATAAAGCTGCAAGATCAAAAGCTTAGCTCTGTGGATTCCGAAATAAATACTATTATCACTGTATTGATGCACAACTCTTATAGCTAGAGCACCACAAAAATTCTTACCTGGAATTTAATTCTGTTATCTGCTGCTTTTATGGTGCAATAGTTTAGAATTCCAATCCAGAACTGCTGAGTTTTTGGAAACATGCAACTACACAATCTGCCTTCTTTCAATCGAAGCAACAGTATTTGAGCGCTACTTTTAGCAGTCCACATTTTCTCAAAAGCTACCTCTGGATGTTGTCACCAAACTGATAATCCCAGAAGCTGTTTTACCATGCAGTTAACAAAGGAAGTATCAATAGAGAAGTTGCTTGGACACAAGTACACAGCAGAAACTTTCTCTCTTCTAAGCACACCCTGTTTAAAAACATTAAAGGGGCGGGAGGGAGAAAAGAGCAGTTGTAAGGTAGTTGCACCTCAAGGCCTTGAGACTGTAACAAGGTCTTCTTCACCACCCTCTAACTTAAAACAAAGATGCCTTAATAGTTTCCACTTGACAAGGAAACAGTTCTAGGCAGAACTTCTGTTCAGCAGCTACAGTCTCTCACCAGCCTCCACCTGGCACTGCGTTGTTGACCACTAACCATAAAGTCAGCTGTTTGTTTCAGAAACAAGAAGGACTAAAATTGTTCATAATGCAAAGAACAAGCAAACAATCTGTCCCTGTGTATGTGAATACACTATTCCATCCACCTCAGATGAAAAATGTGTGTTCTGGCAAAGTCAAACCAACTGTTCACAAAAGCAAAGTGCTGCCGGCAAGATCCTAGGAGGAAAACCTCAAGCATGCTGGCTGGTACAAGGCAAGCCATGTCATCTTCTCTGCTGCAAGTATATCGTGGGAGTGATGTGCAAATCAAAAGCAAGTCCAGCTTACACCTAGCAAGGCTTTGGACCACAAACAGTAACAGGTGGATATGCGCTTTTTTAGACAAAAAGCAAAGCAGGTTGTTACCCTGACTACCAGCACAAACAAACCCAGTGTGGTTCTGCGTAGGCGAGGTCTCAAGAGGTTACTCAATCAACTCCAAATTCACCCCAACCAAATAAGCGAGTTTCAGGTTTTTTCCGCTTTATCGTGTGCGTGTGTGACACGAGGCCTACAATCCAGTTTAATTCTTTCCTTCTTCCACTTTCGCTTAGCAAGCGACCAATAGAAACCACCAAAAAAAAAAAAAAAAAAAAGGGAAAAAAATCACTACTTGCAGAAACATTAAATCTGCTTGGGTAACTCAGAATATATGTTAAAAAAAAAAAAAAAAAAGGGATGAAACGATGAGACCAAGCTTTTAAACGCAAGAAACACAGAACGTCAAGTGACAGCCAAAGCCAACGCACCCCTAGGAAAAGTCACTGCGTCTTTCACACTCAGCTTGCGACAGGGGGGCGACTTTTAAGCCGTCCACGCCCCCTCACGTTTTTAGCCCCAATCTTTGCCCGCGTCCCCCCGCGGAGGTTCCCGCCTCAGACCCCCCCCCTCTCTCCCGGGGTCTAACGCGGCCTAACCCGCACAGCGGCGGCGGGACCCTGTCCATCTCAGCTCCCAGCCGGGACCCCCCCTCCTCCGACACAGCTCCGGGCAGGGACCAGCGGAGGTCGCCGATAGCTCTGCCCCCCCCGGCTCAGCGGGTCGCGGCGGAGCCCCACTCGGCCACAGCCCTAGACGCGAACCTTCCCCCCCCCCCCCAGGCTGCGCTACCTCCCTCAGTGCGGGGCGGCCTCCGTGCGGAGGGGGGGTGTGTGCGTGCGGGCGCCCGCGGAGCCTTGCCGGGGGGGGGCGGTGGCCCCTCCCCCGTGACACTGCCCGTACACGCCTGCGCAGACGTTGCTTCCCCTTTATTTCACCCCCCCGTCAGTCGTGTCCCCAGCGGCGGGCGTAGCTGCGGCCTGGGATTTCTGTGTGGGGCGCAGCCCTGCGAGGTGGGAGCTGCGGGCAGGCGAGGTGGGCTCGCTCCGCCGCAGCCGCCCGGCTGAGAAGCGCTGTGTGCGGGCGGGCCTGCCGGGGCTGGGCTGCCCGGGGAGAGGGCCCGCGGGCTGCCTTTCCGCCCGCCTCGCGCCGGCAGCTGGGGAGCTGTCACCGGGAGACGTCGCGTGGGCGGGTGTCGGTAACCGCCCCCGGCCGGCCCGCGCCCTCTGGCGCCTCAGCGCTGCTGAGGGAGTGACCTCAGGGCGACAATAAAGTCATTTATTTTACACAAATTCAAGATGGAGGGGGGGTTCCTGTAGCCATCAGTGGATGAAGAAAACTAGGGAGAGCCAAGGAAGCTGGAGAGGGACATTTTTCCAAGTGGTTGGGTAGAGTGACAGGACTCAGTGCGGGGCGGCCTCCGTGCGGAGGGGGGGTGTGTGCGTGCGGGCGCCCGCGGAGCCTTGCCGGGGGGGGGCGGTGGCCCCTCCCCCGTGACACTGCCCGTACACGCCTGCGCAGACGTTGCTTCCCCTTTATTTCACCCCCCCGTCAGTCGTGTCCCCAGCGGCGGGCGTAGCTGCGGCCTGGGATTTCTGTGTGGGGCGCAGCCCTGCGAGGTGGGAGCTGCGGGCAGGCGAGGTGGGCTCGCTCCGCCGCAGCCGCCCGGCTGAGAAGCGCTGTGTGCGGGCGGGCCTGCCGGGGCTGGGCTGCCCGGGGAGAGGCCCTGAGGGCTGCCTTTCCGCCCGCCTCGCGCCGTCAGCTGGGGAGCTGTCACCGGGAGACGTCGCGTGGGCGGGTGTCGGTAACCGCCCCCGGCCGGCCCGCGCCCTCTGGCGGCTCCGCGCTGCTGAGGGAGTGGCCTCAGGGCGACAATAAAGTCATTTATTTTACACAAATTCAAGATGGAGGGGGGGTTCCTGTAGCCATCAGTGGATGAAGAAAACTAGGGAGAGCCAAGGAAGCTGGAGAGGGACATTTTTCCAAGTGGTTGGGTAGAGTGACAGGATGAGGGGTAATGGCTTCATGTTGGAAGAGGGTGGATTTACAGGAGGTATTAGCAAGAAATGTTTCACTATGAGGGTGGTGAGGCGCTGGAACAGGTTGCCCAGAGAAGGGGATGCACCTTCCCTGGAAAAGCTCCAGGCCAGGTTGGACAACAGGGAGGTGTCCCTGCCCGTGGTGGGGGGGTTGGAAGGCGATGATCTTTAAGGTCCATCTTCCAACCATTCTGTGCTTCTGTGCCTGTGAGACAGGAGTGTAGATGTGTGAACTCTCCCAGGGGTCTGCCTGGGGTTAGAACTAAACTAGCTAGGGAAAAAAAAAAATGTTAGTTTTCATGCAGATTAGTCTCCTCCACCTCAAGCATATATTATTCTTTACCTCTTACTGGTATATGGGAGGGGCTGGTATGGGTTTGGCATAGAAGGGAGTGCAACTGGTTTAGGGGAACCCTTGGCAGTTTCTGTTCTGTAAAGTAGTTGTATACAGTTTAATTTAATCGTCTTTTCAACTGCTAAGTTTATATAAGTAATTATTAATTTGAGCTTCAGCTTAGCCTATTGTAGACGGTAGGATGAAAGAATAGCCACATTTCCTTTGGAGATTTGAACATTTTCAGCATCCTGAAATTTGACTTTTAACTTGTTGCTTATCAAATTTATTGCTATGAGGAACAGAATATGCAGTTAGCGGTGATGTCTTTTTTCCACTAATTAATATGACCCCAACATCTTACTAACAGGGATAGATTTGTAAGGATGGTATCCTAGGACACAAAATGCCAGAATAAAAGTTTGCAGGATAGCTTCCACATGGAATCATGCAAAGCATGTATTTCCTTATACAGAGGCTATGGACCTTGTTGTAGCATAATCCACAATTGTGGTTTTTAGCCTATAATGAAGCATAAATTACCAAAGTTTTGACAGGAAGAAAATTGTAATATTTAAAAGGTGAATCACAGGAATGTTCATTTCTATTATGTATGTATGTTGTCAACCTTGAAGATGGTTAGAAATGAGAACAGCAGATGTATGTCCGTGGGTCTGAACATTGAAAGATGCTGATATGCATATTACTTTTCAGTGTAAGGAAAAAACACATTTAATGTGACTCATGGTAGTGCAATATGAACATTTACAAAATGTTAAGTGTTATTGGCATCTTTTTATTCAATGTGACTTTGGAATTGCTTACTTGAGTCTGATTAGCTGCCTTGGATTTCTTTTCTGTGTGATAGCTAGCGTACATTATCAATCTATAACTTAAAATATTTCAAGTAAGACAGAAGAGAATCTAATTAACCAATGACATAATCCTAAATATGCTTCTCTTTAGTGCAATACAGAAATATCTGTGGGTTCAGCCTCAGTTTTCACAAAAACACAAAATGGATCTCTGATATTTTTGTATGAATGGTGATCTGTAAAAGCTAGACAAGAAAAGAAAATATGGACCTGAGTATGTCTCCCAGTAATTAACTCCCTTTTTCTCCTCTTCTTTCTACCTTTTCTACATGTCTGTTACCCATTGCTTTTATCTCATTCTTATCCTAATTTAAATGATTGGCATAATTAACGATATTAGATGCCACTTCAGCTGATTAGTAAAATACATTGTTTCTCTCACTGCTCACAATAGGAACTGTAAAATGGAAAGTATTTCAGACACAGAGGAGCTTCTTTTTCATTGCACAGTGTGAATATAACTGTAATCATATAAAAAAACACCATATTTCTCAAGGTAATTAAAGTTTCCCACAACCATATTTTTAATTTTTCTTAAACCTGTTTGTGACATACCTGCATTTATAAAATAGGCCCATGCCCCCCAGAAAAGATCACTACACTAAATAGCCTGCATATAGTGCTGTCCATCTCTCTCTGCAAAAAACAATGTTCTGCGCGGGTGTCGGGCAACCGCCCCCGGCCGGCCCGCGCCCTCTGGCGGCTCCGCGCTGCTGAGGGAGTGGCCTCAGGGCGACAATAAAGTCATTTATTTTACACAAATTCAAGATGGAGGGGGGGTTCCTGTAGCCATCAGTGGATGAAGAAAACTAGGGAGAGCCAAGAAAGCTGGAGAGGGACTTTTTCCAAGTGGTTGGGTAGAGTGACAGGATGAGGGGTAATGGCTTCATGTTGGAAGAGGGTGGATTTACAGGAGGTATTAGCAAGAAATGTTTCACTATGAGGGTGGTGAGGCGCTGGAACAGGTTGCCCAGAGAAGGGGATGCACCTTCCCTGGAAAAGCTCCAGGCCAGGTTGGACAACAGGGAGGTGTCCCTGCCCGTGGTGGGGGGGTTGGAATGCGATGATCTTTAAGGTCCCTTCCAACCATTCTGTGCTTCTGTGCCTGTGAGACAGGAGTGTAGATGTGTGAACTCTCCCAGGGGTCTGCCTGGGGTTAGAACTAAACTAGCTAGGGAAAAAAAAAAATGTTAGTTTTCATGCAGATTAGTCTCCTCCACCTCAAGCATATATTATTCTTTACCTCTTACTGGTATATGGGAGGGGCTGGTATGGGTTTGGCATAGAAGGGAGTGCAACTGGTTTAGGGGAACCCTTGGCAGTTTCTGTTCTGTAAAGTAGTTGTATACAGTTTAATTTAATCGTCTTTTCAACTGCTAAGTTTATATAAGTAATTATTAATTTGAGCTTCAGCTTAGCCTATTGTAGACGGTAGGATGAAAGAATAGCCACATTTCCTTTGGAGATTTGAACATTTTCAGCATCCTGAAATTTGACTTTTAACTTGTTGCTTATCAAATTTATGCCTATGAGGAGCAGAATATGCAGTTAGCGGTGATGTCTTTTTTCCACTAATTAATATGACCCCAACATCTTACTACAGGGATAGATTTGTAATGATGGTATCCTAGGACACAAAATGCCAGAATAAAAGTTTGCAGGATAGCTTCCACATGGAATCATGCAAAGCATGTATTTCCTTATACAGAGGCTATAGACCTTGTTGTAGCATAATCCACAATTGTGGTTTTTAGCCTATAATGAAGCATAAATTACCAAAGTTTTGACAGGAAGAAAATTGTAATATTTAAAAGGTGAATCACAGGAATGTTCATTTCTATTATGTATGTATGTTGTCAACCTTGAAGATGGTTAGAAATGAGAACAGCAGATGTATGTCCGTGGGTCTGAACATTGAAAGATGCTGAACTTGAAGACGGTTAAAAATGAGAACAGCAGATGTGTGTCCGTGGGTCTGAACATTGAAAGATGCTGATATGCATATTACTTTTCAGTGTAAGGAA